TAGTAGGTATTTTGATTGGACACTAGTAATTGGTGCGACGTGTCTGGTACTTTCTTTGGTGCAGACTAAATTCTCTCAGTCAAGGTCCATCAAGATTGCAGATACGCCTCGCTGATGAGTGCCAACTGGCACGAAACCTAGGCCCAAGGCTTCCTGCTGATTGCCTCCAACTATCTAATATACTAAATACTTAATAACTAGTGTCTAATGAGAGTCTGTCTGTTTTCGACATAGAACTTTGCATCGATGTGCAGCAGTTCGAGTCGCCACACTCCCCTCCAACTAGCACACAAGGCAAGAGAAGAAAGTAGAAGAAATGCATAGTAGAGACAGTAGACAGAGATATGAGACAAAACGAATAGTAATGACGAAGAAAAATATAGTTTCATTGGATATTATAAGTCACAAGGAGTGGATACATCTGCGCCAGCCACTAACAAAGATTTTGAGCTATATCACCGACTGTTTCCAGCCATTAGTTTTTACCATCCTGAGGACCCCAACCAGGAAGTCTACACCTTCCTACTTGTCTGGCTTAAACTAACTGTTGTGGATTTTATTGACTGGTGAAACCATGTCTTGGTTTGACCGCCGCTTGATCTTTTCCAGCCTCAACCCTATATCAGCTAACATTGCCCGTCAAGGAAGGAGATGGCTAGGGGATGCATGTGTAACACATGTCCTAACCATCTCAGTCGATGTAGCTTCACAGCCCCCCCCCCCTCCTTACCTAATGATAGTATCCAATACAGACCTACAGGAGATCAACCGCGAGTCTAAATAGCTCAGTGGTAACGTCTCTGACTGTAGCACTGGGTGGTGACACGGGTTCAGATCTCAGAAGGGTTATAAGCTCCTCCGAGATTTCCGATACTCCCTGCTGATGAGTGCTAACAAGTATGAATTTAGGTACAAGGCTTCCTGTCGATTGCCTCTAACAAACTAAAAACACTGAACAACTTGACTGAAAGTACTTTATAACATTCAGAAATATTATGTGTCGTACATATTTATTCATTGATTAAACATAACGACTAAGAAATTCAATCCAATCTAGGTGTCAAATCCCTCGATAAGGCGCCGTGAATTCACTGCTGCTGCTGCTGCTGGATTCAACATAGAACTTGACACCGAAGTGCACCAGTTCGAGTTGCCACGTTCCAAATAGCACACAAAGGTAGACAAGAAAATGAGTGATGAAGAGAATCAATAGAGTTTTGACAAGTATAAGAGTGAAACAGAAGGAGTAATGGTAGAGAAGAATATGAAGGTTAAAGAGACTGAATACATCTGCGCCATTGACGACGATTTTGAGCCATGTCACCTATTGTCTGTCTCCAGCCATTGATTCTTAGAGTCCCGAGGGCGGGCCCCAACCCGGAAGTCTGCATCTCCCTCCCTACCTGACTCAGTTTAACTGTCAGGGATTTCATGGATTGATGAGGCCATGTTTTTGTTTGGCCACCACTTACTCTTTTCCAACCTCCACCTATATCAGCTAGTAATGCCCGTCGGGGGAGGCGATGGTTAGGCATGAGCAGCACGTGACCTAGCCATCTCAATCTATGTAACTTTATAGCCTCTTCGAGTGATTTTCCATCTCTGCCCAACACTCTACGCCTAATGTCAACATTACTTACCTTATTATACCACCTAACGCGAGAAAGAGATCGTAAACATCTGTGGTCAAAAACAGACAATCTCTTCATGTCTTCCGCTCTCAATGGCCACGTCTCACCGCCATAGAGAAGGACGGAGCAAACTGCTGAGCAGTACACACGTCTCTTGGTTGATAGTCGGATGTCACGCCTACGCCAGAGACGGTGTAAGTTAACGAAAGCAGCCCGAGCTTTCTGGATCCGTGCTGTGACCGTGAATTCACCTCACACAATAAGGTTGTAACAACAGAAGACAAGGGCCAGGCAACAGATCGTTTATTAAGGAAAATCAACACATATTTATAGATTTTAGTGTACATTATTGTAGATTATTGTTAGTAGAAATACAGTCTTTAGATTGGTTGTTTCTCACAGAAAGTTAACCATGCATCTCTTTGTGGCTGTGTCAGATCATCCATATGCTAACTGTATCCACCTACGCAAAGCCTTTGTTTTCATTTTCTCACCACCAATATTGGGGACATAAACATTGACGTCAATTACTGTCTACCAACTTTGGCTAGCAGCCAGCTCTCACCACAAGGTTAACTAGGTATCTATCGCGTGATTATATCTAACAAGCACAACAATGGAGGTGTGTGTTTCACTGGAGCGGTCTCTCAACTTACAACCAATAGGTCATGAGATTTCACACTTTACCTACTGGAGTTTAACTGGCTAAGTTATCCCACTAGACTTCACACATAGTAGATATAGTTCACTACTAAGTGTATGGAAATGTAAACATGTATTGAATAATATTCCAGGATATGAGCAACATCCACCGCGACATGATTAATGGTACTATCCAGTTGCCGAGGCTGAAGTAGGCAGTGTGATTCATTAGCTTAAAGCTGGTTAACCCATAAACGATCTGGTACGGCTAAGGGTGTGTAGACACCGATTTTCCTCTCGAAATGTTCTAATGTGACCAAGAGTCCATAACCTCTACCAAGTAATTCCTATTCACTGCCTTCACGTGACTGACTGACTGGTTTCAACGTAGAACTTTGCACCGATGTGCAGCAGTTCAAGTCGCCACACCTCGCTCAGCACACAAAGCCAGAGAAGAAAGTGAAGAGAAACGCAAAATAGAGACAATAAACAGAGATATGAGGCAAAAGGAATAGTAACATCGAAGAACATTATAGTTTTATTGGAAATTATAAGTCACAAGGAATGGATGCATCTGTGCCAGCCACTAAGAACTACCATTTTGAGCCATATCACCAATTGTCTCCAGTCTTTATTGGTTTCTACAGTCCCCAGGACCCCAACCAGTCAGAAAGTCTACACCTTCCTACGTGGCTGGCTGTTGTGGATTTCATTGACTGATGAAGCCATGTTTTTGTTTGACCATCACTGACCCTATGTCAGTCAGCTAACATTTCCCATCGAGGCAGGCGACTGCCTTCACGTGGCGGGAGTGTTCCTCACAAAAGTGAAAGGGCCAATGCGAACGTCTAGCACTTACAACCACCAGACTGGTGATCATGTTGGTTCACCTAAGGGAGCTTGGAAACCCTGATTCCAAAGCCATAGTATACATCGTCTCTAGAATCCGAAACGATTGAATGGCTTACGAACCTGTTTTGGTCACCGTCAGCCATGGAGACGTAGCACCTGACGCTGTTCCACTGCCTTGTGGATCAAACTTCAAGTTAAAGGCTCGGTTGGAGGTGGCCCCTTAAGACAACCACCACCTGTTTTGATCTGGGTGTCCGGGCAGTATCCCAGCCCCCGCACAAACTATGAAATCTTGTGAAGCGTATCAATTGGTGTCAAATAAAAAATTAATAAACGCTAACGAGTCATATCTCCACAAATGTTTATACTAAGGGTGCTGAGTGCGATATGCGTAACAGGTAGTTGTTAGCCCAATAGGCATTCTTTTGGAATACACTGGCACAATAACCAGACAAGTATTTCCTTCTGAAAATAAGGTTGTGATTCTATCAACAACAACAATAAAATATCGTCACATTGGACTAATTCGATCGATCGGAAACACGATCAATATAATAATATATGCTAAATGACTTTTATTCCAGTTTAGTGAATGACACCTCTAATCAATACACACCAAGACGCATCAATACTCAGTGATTCCTAGTACGTAAAAACCATTCATTTAGCAAGGTGTACACACAAACTTGTCAGGATCGAGTCCAGAAACATTAGGTTACGAAGTGAGTACGTCGACAGTCACTCCTCAGGTTAAAAATCGAATGGCTAGTGAATTTTAACTTCTGACATCTGATAATGTTGTAATGCCAACAGTATCAGGCTGAATATATGAGCATATATTCTCACACAACTTGGTGAATACCACTGCAACAAAAAAGTTCTTCCCCGGAGGCCTGCTTAAAACTTGAGCTACTGAAAACCTCCATCAATATATTGCATATAGTTTCTCTGATTCCCTTTGTTTAAATCTAGTAAAATATGACCTCTAATAGTGTTGTTTACTCTGGCGAATATTTAAAACATTTAAAACCTGCGATTTTGCAAGTTTCCACTAAACATGAGAAAAAGTATTATCCGAGATGGATGGCAGCTTATCCCAGTAAATGAGATGACCATTCCTAAACTGGTGCGTCATTGGTTCACAAAATGTACTCCTGAACTTTTGGCATTCAACAAAATGTCGTATATTTGTCGAAGGAGAAAAAGTTGAGATGTCATAAGGGGGATTGGTTTGCGCTTCATGTCAGATAGAAACTTGTCACACGATCTACTATCAATTAACCTGGGGATTTGATTGATTACAGGATTTCATCATGAACTGAAATAGGTTTAGAGGGCCATTGTGAAAACCTGCCAGGGAGAGCTGGACAGCTGTTTCGTCCTACTTTGGGGCTCTTCGCAGTAAGTACCTACCACAGGGGGTTCGAACCCAGGACCTTCCGGTTGTAAGGCGAGCTGGTAGACCTTTAAGCCAGTGGGACCCGATCAAATGGCCAGTTCATGAATTCCAACTTTGCCCCTATTCAAGTAGGTAGTTACCTGGGTTCTAATGGGAAGTCGTGACCAGTGCGGCACAGCAGATCGGGTGTGAGGACAAATACTCGCCAATTACATTCGCTAGTGGTCACGCCATGTCATAAATTGGCAAACGTTGGAATTCATGACCTGGCCATTGGATTGGGTCCCAGTGGCTGAATGGTCTACGAGCTCGCTGGCCTTGTAACCGGAAGGTCCTGGTTTGCGCAACCCCTTGTGGTGGGTACGAACTGATGAAGAATCCCAAGCTAGGCTGACGAAACAGCTGGCTGTCCAGTAGGCCCTGGCAGGTTTTCGTAATGGTCCTCTAAAAAATGTCAGTTCATGATGAAATCCTGAAATTAATCTTTTATTTGAAGATCCTGGACGTTAAGAAATAAGCATGCAATGAACTCAGCTGAGAATTCTGTACATTATGTAAATACGGTTCAGCACAAAGCTATTATTATTATCTTACTTACTTATTATTATGACAATGGAAGGCCAATCACCAAAGAGGCGGAGCAAAGGAAACACTGGGATGAACACTTCAAAAGACTTCTAAATCGACTGCCACCTACAACGCGCCCAATAATACCAACAGTGGAAGCAGAACTACCAGTGGACATCAACCCTCCAACGAAAACAGAAATCCTGAAGGCAATCAAGATGCTAAAAACTGGAAAAGCAGCAGGACCAGACGGAATCCCAGCAGAAGCATTGAAAATGAACCCAGAGACATCAGCGGACTTGATGACACCACTACTGGAGAAAGTGCGGAGAGAGGGCAAGGCACCTGAGGATTGGAAGAAAGACTACCTATTGAAACTGCCAAAGAGAGGGGATTTAGGTCAATGCAAGAACTGGAGCGGCATTATGCTTCTGCCCATCCCAAGCAAAATACTAAGCCGCATCATCCTGGAGAGAATCAAACACCCCCTGGATGAAAAACTTCCTGAACCTAATTCCCGACGTCCCGACGTTTTGGAAACAGAATAAAGTATTCTGAGAGAAATCTTCATCCAAAATGGATACCCAATAAGATTCATTGAAAAAAATATCAAACCGAGAATTCGGAGAAACGAAACTTTAATTGCGCCTAAAAAGAAACTCTACATGAACTTAAATTTTAAAGGAGATTTAACAAACGATATTCTCAAGAGAAAGATCACATCATCTCTGAGAAGAACATTCTTTGCAGCAACGATAAGAATAGTGTTCTCCAGTCGCCCACTGATCTGCAGAAGCCTCAAGGACAAGATCCCGCATCTGACCACTTCTATGTGCATATATCAGTTCACCTGGCGCTGTGTAGCTAGCTAGCTACATCGGTCGTTCGATGCGCTCCCTATCTAAGAGGATTATTCAAGAACACTCACTATCCAGCATGGTTGTGAAAAGGCAATACTGGTGCTATGAGGAGTGCGATAATTGAACACACCGGGTTAACACTGATCATTCCATGTCAACAAACGCCTCCTGCTTCAAAGTAATCTACAGAATCAAGAATAACCTACCAAAGGCAATACGGTTTGTATCGTCTTGTTTGTAACGCTGAAGCTCTGGCCATTCACATAGAAAAACCGGAGCTGTGCATACAACCAATTCTACTGTCATGGTAACAACTTTGTTGATTTTGATGACTTAATTTTGTTTGTTTGCCTGTTCTTTAATATTAATAATAATAATACCACCGAAGAGTGCCAAACTAAGGCGAAACTAAATGTTCATTGTTGCATAGTTGCTGTTGCTGCTGGATTCAACATAGAACTTGGCACCGAAGTGCAGCAGTTCCAGTTGCCACGTTCCAAATAGCACACATAGGTAGACAAGAAAATGAGAAAAGAGAATCAATAGAATTTAGATAAGTATAAGAGTGAAACAGAATGAGTAATGGTAGAAAGGAATATGAAAGATTACAGAGACTGAATACATCTGCGTAAGCCATTGACAACGATTTTGAGTCATGTCACCTATTGTCTCCAGCCATTGATTCTTAGAGTCCCGAGGGCCCCAATCCGGAAGTCTGCATCTCCCTACCTGACTCAGTTTAACTGTCAGGGATTTCATGGATTGATGAGGCCATGTTTTGTTTGGCCACCATTTACTCTTTTCCAACCTCCACCTATATCAGCTAGTAATGCCCGTCCGTCAGGGAAGGCGATGGCTAGGCATGCGCAGCACGTGGCCTAACCATCTCAATCTATGTAACTTCACAGTCGCTTCGATTGATTTTCCCTCTTTGCCCAACACTTTACGCCTAACGTCAACGTTACTTACCTTATTATACCACCTAACGCGAGAAAGAGATCGTAAACATCTGTGGTCAAAAACAGACAATCTCTTCATGTCTTCCGCTCTCAATGGCCACGTCTCAACGCCATAGAGAAGGACGGAGCGAACTGCTGAGCAGTATACACGTCCCTTGGTTGACAGCCGGATGTCACGCCTACGCCATAGTTATCAACGACTCTCTCTCTCTCTCTGTGTCTCAAATCATGTTGTTTTGAAACAAAAAGCCAAATGTAAATTCAACTAAACCTGTACACAAAAATCCAAAAAAATAAAAACAAAAACAAAATAGTAAATTTTACAAAATTAAACATACCTGTCTACTATAGTCTAATAACTGATAATTTCTACACAATAAAACACAGACACTATGCAATAAACGTCCATAGATTTGATCATAGCCTGGTCGTAATTGTGATGATAATTTGAATAATAATTGACATAATGGTTGTAGAATTGGTCTATGCAGCAGGACATTTTGTCTTGATTGTGTTATTAGCTGTTCAAAGGCAATAATAAGATTTCTGCGCAAAACATCACGTGTACTCAAAGATTTATCGTCTTTCAGCGTTGGACTAGCTTCAATCCATATAAGAAGTGATTGGAATATATTATTGTGTAGTACTGCTTCAAGATATGAACCTTGTTGTACAGTATTTTGTTCTGATTCTGTTAAGGATAGATAGATAATAACAGAAAAAAGAGGTAAGCAGACAAGATTAAACAGATTCTGGTATAAAATTAAAGGAATTAATTGGTTACAGGAATTCATCATGAGCTGACATTAGTTAAAGAACCATTGGAAAACCTGGGAGTACTGAACAGCTGTTTCGTCCTATTTTTTGACTCTTCGTCAGTGAGCACCCACCCCACTTGAGTTCGAACCCAGGACCTTCTGGTTACAAGGCGAGCTCGTAGGCCATTAAGCCACTGGGACCCAAGCTTGCCTTGTAACCAGAAGGTCCTGGGTTTGAATCCCGGTGGGTGCGTACTGATGAAGAGTCCCAAACTGGGACGAAACAGCTGTCCAGTACTCCTAGGTTTTTCAATGGTTCTCTAACTAATGTCAGCTCATGATGAAATCCTGTAACCAATCAACCAAATCCCTGCAAACCAATACTTGAATAAAAGAATTAAATTATACGACTTTCAACTAGTGAAACCCACGGATTCCAAACTGGTACCGCCTATCCATAGTGAAGATAAACAGATAGAATTACAGTCATCATACAGTAATGGTGCGTTGCTAGAAGTCTGGTTCCTAAGATAAGTATGTTCCAAAGATCAATACGTAAACTTGTCCTACCATTATTTTAGGTGAAATAAAGGACGTATGTATGTACTCCGCAACAGGGCAAAGTTCAACAATAGCGTCCCAAGGGATAATAATAATAACAATAATTTGCTTTATTCCAAAACAGTACTTGTGATACAGAATGGAATTCTCAGCATTTTTACTACAGTATTGCATCCAGTTAGTACATTAACAATAAATAAAATTCTACATAGATTAAGGGTAATCTCGGTTAGTTTTGACAACAACATATTAGCATGTCGGTAGCAAAGCCAAAATTGAACAGAGTGTTTGAAGGTGTTAGAAAAGTAGATGCTAGCATATTTACTGGCGTAAGCGGTAACAAAAAGGTCGAGATATACAGAGTGTGAAAGAACGAAGAAGAATGTTTTAAGTAGAGTTTGTAAGGAAGAGAGAAACAAAGCAGTACATAACAACAAAAAAAAGAGAGAAAAGGAAAAGAAAGAAAGAAAACGTTGTACCTATAAATGATATGAGTTGGAAAGACGAGATCCAGTTGTTCTACTGACTATTTAATAAGTTATAGGTATCACGCCTAATGCTTTCTTTATCGCACAGAACACGAGCTAAGTAGAGTATGGTTGAGTTTTTGTACTTGCTAGTGCGAGCATATAGTTTTCTATATAGGCTTCTGGTTCTGCCTGATGAGATACAAGGGGAGAGATACAAGGGATGCGAACACGCGAGTGACATTTAGCCGAACAATTATAAAAATAAGTGATTTTTGCACAAAAAATGACGATTATATTTACAAGAAAATGTATGAAAACACATTAAACAGGGTATCTTTTTCCGATATGACTTAAAGAAACGTCCCAGTTAATAATGAGAAGTATCAGTTGCTAAGTTAGACCAGTTTCTGTACATAAGTATTCACCGAGGTGACTAAAGATGAGCTGTTTTTTGTGAAATGTTTATCTCTCTTATCTTGTTGTACAGTCTTCCCCAAAAGCCCTCGGTTGAATTAACTATGGTTTCCAGTAAGAGGACCGACGACTACCCACCAGGAAAATGTGGATAAGAAAACAAATTGAAATAAATGACATCAAATCTAAATCTATCCCTAGTTTTGACCCTAACCCTAAATTTAACACTAACCCTAATGCTAATTATGATCCTGATCCTAATCCTAAGCCCAATGCTTACCTTAACCCTTATCTTAACCTTAACAAGCTATTAACACATTGTCCAAACAGTACTTAAAGACGTGATCTGAGTGAAATTTGCTGCTCATTTGGTGAATAGCGTTGATATTTCAGCTATGATAATGACAGATGCCGTTAGCCGACGCCAACGACTAGCATGCGTTTAAGGTCACTGAAGCGTTTGCACTCCTGGGACGCTATTGATTAACTTCGTTCTGTCCTCCTTCATGCCTGTAAAACATGATCATTGAAACTGGAAAATATGAAAAGGCCGGTTAGCTGTCTTTGACCATAGGTGTCTGCTTTCTGTCTCCCGTGATAGGTAGTATAATATGGTGAGTAATATCGAGGTTAGGCGTAAAGTGCTAGGTACGGAGATTAAGTCAATCGATGAAGTTGTGAAGCTATATTGATTGAGATAGCTAGGACACGTGTTATGCATGACTATCCACCGCCTTCCTCCTTTAACAATGTAAGCTGGCATAGAGTTGGGTTGAAAATGAGTTAGATTTGGACTAGACGAAAGCTGGAATCAATTGATGGATTCATTTGATTGTTGAATTGAGCCACCTAGAGAGTTGTAGACTGCCTGACTGGTTGGAGTCATCAGAATGCTGAGAACCAATGGCCTGAGACTTTTGATGATCTGGCTCAAAATTGTTCTCAACAGCGTAGATCCTATCACTCTTTGTAATTTCCCAGATCTATCTTAAATCTTCGTGTTTCCCCAAGTAATTATTCTTTCTCCTGCAAATTTCTGCTTATTGTAGTAATTTTGAATCTCTTTGTTTCCCCTTCTTCGTTTACCTCCGTGTGCTCCATGGAGTGAGACAAATTGAACCGGTCCACCTCTGTGAAAAAGTCCTGTGTTGAAACTCAGTGAGTCAGATTGCCTACTAATCTAAGCTCTTTGAGACAGAACAAGATTCAAAACCACGACTTACTGGTTAAAATTCAAATAACTAAACGGAAGAACTACAGTTTCACCAACGTTTATTTGTTAGAAGTATAACGTGCACTGGTAGTTCAGTGGTGGGATGCTGGCCAACTGCGTACCTGGTCCTAGTTTCCACTATCAGCCGGCACACTCCTAGACCTTCCCTAGCTTGACAGTCGTTAGTAACACCAACCAGTAAAAAACAACCCCAAAGCTACTGAGACTTCAAGTTTGGAGCCCTACATCCCACTGGGATTGCAAAGGGGTGAAAAAATAACTAAATAAATCAAAATAAACAATATGATATATGCCTTAAAACACAAAACTATTAAAAACCATCAGTTAGGCTATTCTACCAACAACAACAACAATAAAAAACGACTTACTACAAGAAAAGTGTTCATCAACTACTAGAAGTATAATTTTTCCAACATGATTGAAAACTGATTCAATTTTAGCAATAGACAGGACAGTATTATTACTGTCATTAATTATTGATTTACAACTATCCCAGTGATCATAGAATTCTTGAATACTTCCACTTGGTAGTATTAAATCAGACTCAGATCTACGCATTCTGTTGCAATAGAAGATTCATCTTTGAGAAGTGGACACCAGCGGAGAGCATTAAAAGCTGATAAGATATAGAAGAAAAACAGATTCGACAGTCAGATGTTATACACAAAAACTAAGCGGTTATGTCATAAGTTACACGCTGGCTGCAGAGCAAGAAGAAAACTAAATCTCCAAGAGCAGAGATCAGTGAAACCCATAAGCAAATAAATAGTGAAACAAGGTGCTGCAAATGCATATTTTTACCTCGCCTATTGACCGTGTACAATTTAGCACCATTAGTCTTCATAACTGAAAGATAAGTCTTATATATTAGAGTAGTGACCATTACACGTCAAATGGGAAAAACTAAATATTGACAGAAATGAATGCAATAAAACTCAATAAAACGTTTTAAAATAGCAAAGCTCTATTTAGAAATGCAGTACCTTATTGACATTTCTGACTATGCAGTAAACTATATTCTTGGTGTAAGCAAATAAGCAATACTGTATGCTTTATGGGACAAAATTATTCTATTATGAAATTCATCCAAATCTCTACTGACTCACACAAAACTGCTGCCTAGCGTTATGTGATGTACAGGTTGAACAAATTTGAGGAAGCTCACGAACCATTTCACGTCACTGAATGCGTCGAAATTTTTTATAATAAAAACGACACACAAGTAACTTCAAAGCCTTAAAACCTCGTGAGGTATCGTAAATAGGCTAAGCTTCTAAGAAAGCCGTGAACTATAAGCTATCTTGAGTAATTAAACAATGTACAAATTTTAAGTGAATTTTAGATTTTCCCGTCGATTGATTGGAACGAAGTACTCGGTCTCAGACTGACATGTCGACTTCTTGTGCAGATGCTTCGACGATGTCTGGACATGTAATTAGAAGTTAATTAGAGGATGCTGTCTAGCAGTGGAATCAAGGATGAGCATTTCGTCCTATTTGGGACTCGTCAGCTATCTGTATGTACCTGCATTCCCCAGTGAGTTAGTGATGGTGTTCCCACAGAGGCTGGATAACGCTTTGGCGTTTGAAACTATTGGCACTGGGTTCGACCCTCAGTGGGAACATCACAATGCGGAATGCAGGTACATTCAGATGACGAGTTTCAAATAGGACGAAATGCGCATCCTGGATTCCATTGCTAGTCACCATCCACCAATTAACTTCTAATGTACTAATTTACCTAGCTTTTTAGACTGACGTATTACTCAACTGACGTTAACATAAGTCTGACAAGTTTAGCTTAAAAACCCATTATTTTAGTCAGTAGTTAGCACATTTACAATACAGATACAAGAACTCAACCTCGAATAATAACACTGTAGTACTAAATGAATTTAAGCACAAAAGCAGTAATACTACCTACTTCTAAAACACTGTTTTGAAACAACAGCTCGAGTGCTTAAATAAGAAACTATTCTATGATAGATAAGATTTTATTTTGATAAATCATACAGTGTTGTTATAAAGTAATATTAACTGTTGATCACGTTTCGAGCACAAATTATTGCCACTTATAATCAAATCAAGTCACTCACACAACTTTTTTCCTTCATTTATATACATGATTAAAAGTTGATGATTAGACATTTGAATAAAATAAATATGAGATAATGTACATTAAGAATTATTGATATGAGTATTATTAATCAATTACATTTAGATGGGAAATAAGACGAGTGTTTTATAGTCAAAATGAGTAACTTGTTAAATGTTATAATGTATGTGAATTGAAATAGAATTTTGAGATTATTTATTATCATCTTCTGATTTGACTGACTGGTGGTAATAATAATATCTTCCATATCTCTGGTATTTGTGTTGAGTCACTTCTACTGCATGTGTTGTGTTGGATGTAAACTCGATGATCTCCATCTCTCTAGATTACTTTTTTAGAATTTTAACCCTCTCCCACCCATTTCCCATCTGATTGTGATTGATCAATAACAATCATATTATAACCACCAGTCAAATCAGAGGAGCATAATAAATAAATCTTAAAATTCTATTTCAATTCAAGCACATCACAACATACTAACAACAAACTATCATCTGCCGCGGAAAATTGCACTACAAGATATCAGAGTATATCCCCCCAGAAGTATGAGTCAGTGCAAAGCAAATGCTTAAATACTAAGTACATCAATTTATTTGTTTTCTGATATAAACAGGTACAATAAGGACAAATCTGTGGGCCTAGTGCGGATTAACTTTGATATATGGCTTGTGTAACGAGGAACTGATTAATTACAAAGTTTTTTTCACAAACTGAATATCCTATATAATAATATCTTACTGAATACAACTTTCCTTAATGATATAGAACTAAGGAATCTACAAGCAACTCATTTCAGCTAAATAACCTTTTACATACCCCCCCTAGTATTTAAAGGGTAAGACAAGTGATAACACTGGTTAGAAAATAGTTCCAAGCAATGGAGGTTGTGGACTTTAGCAGAGGCGTCTGAGTTATGGTAATACGAAGACAGGTGGAGGAGGATACACGAACAGGACAAAAGAAGTATGAAGCATGGAAGTTTAGAGACCCTACGCAACAGCAAAGTTTATTCAGAATATTAAGTGTCGTGCATCTCCTGAAAATATCAGCTCCCATGGTACACTTCAGTAATTTAAAGTTTGTCTACACAAATGGATTGATAGGTATCCTGTAAAGTGATTTTCTCTTTCTAAAACGAACTAACATCACAGTAAGGAAATTTGGCACCACGTAATTAAGGAGTAATGTATATCATAATTTTAACACGGGTGAGATAGTAAATATTGACAGCAACAACACGTTTATTGTACAATACGACAAAGTTAAAAAGCAGTACATGACATGGTCTTTAACTCCTAATCCTAGCTTGCGGTGCAAGTAAACTCACGCAGATAACCACAAACATAAGACGACTCTGTCTTAACTACATTTTCAACTCATCTGTGATACTGGAGAATCAAGCAGATTCGCACAAACTTCATTTGTAGTGCTAAAAGTGTCAGGTCGTCTTAGATGTGCGTTAAATTTTGTGACAAATCACTTCCTTGACAGGTTGTAAAAATGCAGCCAATAACAAGATGAAATTAGCAAACGCAAAATATAAATGTTATGAGGGATAACTACACTTCCTTCAATATATATGAAATATAATCATTTTTCGCAAGAAGTAAACTGTACATATAGAATAAAAGGCTCAGTCCAACATTCACACCATTTAAAGAATAAATATAGATAACTAAAATACGTACTTAAACACACATTCTCTCAATAAATGTGGTTAATGCATGTAAAAACAACCACAATTCCTTTCGTAACGGAACGTTCTATTTTTGCGCTATTCACGGACAAGGTCGAATCCAATATTCAATATCAAATTTTGGATTAAGACATTTCAAAATTTTAGTTGAGGAATGTAGGCTTCAACCTTACAGTAACCATCGTATATGCGCTCGTCTAATACCCTCTTGAATGGGCTGATCAAGGGCTCTTCCGCTACAAGTAGATTGTGCGTCAGTGGCACAGTGGTTAGAACGCTTGCCGACCATGCAAATGGTCCGAAGTTCTGTTCCCGGCCGAAGCACACCTAATATCAATGAACGGCCCGCTGAATGTGTACTACCAACACCACGTGTTGAAAATTCCATACTAGTACCAAAACATTGTGTGGGATCAAGGCGTAATAAAATAAAAAATATATAAAAAGAGGTTCTCGAGTTGATAACTCAGTGAAAAACATAACTCCACAGCAAGGCAATTCCCAGTCAGCTTTTTAACGTTCCTGATAATTTCTCTGACGTTTTTCAACTAAATGGAAAGAAAAAATAACTTAGACCAGGTCTACAATCTTTTCTCAATATGTTGGACACGCTAATGATTCTCTCTATCTGTTGTATTATTATGAGAAGAGATTTAATTGCTCATCGCATAATGAACCGGTTATATTAAATGGCTGTCATCTGCAGTTCTTCGCACTGTTTTTACTATGTGATTTGCCTTTAAGAGAAGATCCAGCTTCTAGAAGCAACTTTGTCGATGAGACTTCACTGAGGATGGACAGAGTGATGCACTTATCACGGATGATTCTAGTTAAGATCCTACGGATTTTCCAAATGGTCCTCGAGTCACAAATGCGACTTGGAGTTACTGTTTCCTGGCTCCTAAGTCATGACCTAATTTACAACCTACATCGTTGGTTTTCTAAAACTAAAGGAATTGTATTCTCCCAATATAGTGCACCCTGAAACTTGAGTGCGAAGTGGGACATGGTTGATTGGTTGGCATATATGGGGCACTTATTTCTGACCAGCTGAGGAGAAGCCAGGTCTTTCTGTAGCGTGAGTGTACTGTACTTTTTCAGTTTGTATGCTACGGATTTCAAAAAGACATTTTGTTTGACCCTTGATAAAAGGAAGGTAATTTTTCAACATCACCCCAATTCTTCATTTACAGATTACTAACCCATGTTTTGTAAACTATCCTCCTTTATTAACTCCCTTATTTTTCCCAGAACTGTTTAAAAAGCTCCTTTTGTAACTTTTAAGACTTTCAAGGTTATAAGCAACGTCAGTGAGAGATTTCTGTCCTAAACAATTGTCACTGAAGTTGACAGACACTTCAATTCTTGCCAGCCGTTGCCTTAGATCATTAAGACAGATACCAAGCATTCTCACAATTGTCTACTTCCGATTTTCCAAGAAGAGCTTTAATCAGCTTAACTAGAATCTATGTTAGTACGACTGAATATAAAAAACCACCCACCATTGCTAATGAATTCCACGAGTACCGATGCAACAATGCTAATTAATACGATGCATGCGATTTGTTCTATTTATTTCATCAAACTTCCCTGATTCACGTTCAGTCAACGACTATATTCTGACTTCATCGATACATGATTTCACATGATACACTCTACGGTACTATCAACAATACAGATTTATATGAAGTATATAAATCTACTTCAAAATTAACGTACTCTGTAGAACTTACCAGTGGCATTCGTC